CATGATTTATTTTCCGTTAAATCCCATTCAATGTAACTCTCTCAAAAATTACTAGTCGACTGTTCATAAGAATATCAGGCCCGTATGTTTATATTACCATAAACGATGGAAGATGCTCAAGTTATGGACAATGAAAAACGTCTAAAAAAAATTCTTAGAATTTCTTAAAATTTGATGCTTAAATTTCTTAAAATTTCTTAAAATTTGACAATCAAATTGCGTAAATAGCATTTGAAGAAATCCAATTTTAATTTCGTTGCGTAATTACCATCATCGCAGTGAAATTAAAAGACAACGTTTTTCTACATTTTGAGAAAATTTTGAGAACTCAAAAACTCAAATTTTTTAATTTTCTAACATGATTTTCTTTAATATGAAAAAAATCTGCATATTAGCAAATAGGTAATAATAAAAAACATTTACTGTGGAGAATTGATTCCTTATAAATTCATAACGGCGACTACCTTAAGGAGAATAACCCAAGTATAGTCAGACAGATGCTAAAAAGGTTAAAATACATGACAAAAGTTGAACTTAGCAAAATTGTAAATACTTGTTCCACGAGCTTTTCACCGAGTATTGATAATCCGCAAAGAGATTATGGAATTCAACAAAATGATTTATCAATAATAATAACAGGGATTCAATCTGGCGAAAAAAAAAATATATATGTACATTAAACTCAGCGAAGTATTTGATTTGGTTGAGGAAAAACTAGACATCAACCCCAATTAAAAACATGCCGTTTGTTAAACTCATTAACTCAGTTTCACTATAGTTTACGTTTTAATTAAACCATTTACCCGCACCCAGTGTTTTTTACCGTAATATCAATTGGTTCGTTATGTGAATTCTGTCTGAAATTGTACCTGATGAACTCAGTGATTTCCCTCATCGCCACATTTGCGCGCATGTTTCAAGAGCTTCTAACGAGGAGTAATTAAAAGCCGCGGGATGCCGTAATTGCTCCAGGTGTACGAGGGCTCGATTCTTTTCCCTTTCCATTTCCCTTGCGCTCACCAGTATACCACTAGACACCGAAAAAACCACCCAACGCTGACTGCGGAATATATGTACATGTATATGTGCCGATTTTGTGCCGACGCAGTGGGTTTTGCTCCGCGATTCTCGGCACTAATGCCCACCCACGGAAAACGAACGGGGGCGCATTTGGCATAAATCTTCACAGCCCCTTTAACTGTCCCGGAAATTCGATAACAAATTTTTTTCATTCATTCCAGAAGCATCTAGATTCCTTTTCTTCCACTTCTCGAGTCCGATAAATTGTTTTTATTGGATTTAAAAGATTTGGAATGATAAATTGGTTGCAGTAAGATGAATAAACAATCAATTGCGACCCTTTATTTTCGCGGAAGATGAAAGAACATTTTAATATAAAATAGTAGATTATGTCATATGTCGTCCGAATGACATAATCTATTTTTTATCACGAAGTTCCGCAAAGAAGGAGTGGGGTGGGGGCGGAGAAGAGGGTCCCGGGGCGAAGCCCCCGGCGGGGGGTTGGCGGGGGGAGCCACTCCCACTGAAAAAAAAAATTCACAAAAGAAAAAAAATATATAAAAATTGAAGTAATTTGTACTTTTTGTTAGGTATAAGAGAAATACTACAAAAACCTAGTATTTCCATAGAAAAATTCTATTGAATTCGTATTGGAACCCTTGAAAACCTCTATTGAATTTTTGTGAAAATTTTATTGATTTGTTGTGCCAATTCTATCGGAGATCATGCAATTTTACCATCTCGTATTCCTAAAAGAATATTTAATAGAAAAAAGTCCATAGATTTTTCATTTCTTCATTCTTGGATACAAATTTCTCAAATTTTTTATGGAGCCCACCTCCCCCTCGCTTCTCCTCACCGAATGAAAAACCAGAACAAACGTAAAAAGTGATAATAATGAGTGAATCGGAAATTCTCTGTCTAAAAGGATGATTCTAATGAAAATTGGATAACAGAAAATTTTCAATGGTGAATGTGCGGAAAGCATAAAGAACAAAACGGAGGAATGAGGAACAGGGGCAGTGTGAAACAGCTGGTTTGAGGTTGGATATTTAACGAGTCTAGGAGCGCTAAAGCGTGACATGAAGTCAGCCGTTTCTCTTTATCAAGTCCATGGCTGCTAATCGCCACCTATCGGCCGCAGAACAGGCCGATAGGTGCAGGGTAGCGGGACTCAGTGATGAAATAGCATATAATATTCATGATAAAATACATTTGGGTCTTCCAAAACGATAGGCGAATTGACACGGCGAAAAAGTATTAATCAATTGGAAATTTTGCGTAATTTAGTGCTGAGGGTTCATTCGTCTTCATTGACTTTAAAAAATCGTGTTATCTCCTGATCAGTAATGTCGTTTTCAGACTGAGAGAAAAAAAATTTTCAACAGGATAAGATTCTTTTGACTTTTGAAGCGTTCTCAAGACTAGAAATTATGTTCTTCCCATAAATTCATGTAGTTTGCGTTATATCCAGAATTTTTTTTCATCAGGACTTTAATAATTACATAAAATCTTCCCCAAAGAGACAACACTTGAGATCAATTTTCTATACAGTTAAATTGACAATAAAGTGTTTCTCGTGCAATCGAAACAAGAATTCCTCAGTTGGAGATGATGAATGATCAGATCGGGGAAGTGTGAATTGTCCCAATCCACTAAATTCTAGATATAACGCAAACTGTATGAATTTACGGGAAGATTTATGCTAACATTAAAAAATTTTCTAGGAACAAGAGAATCTGGTGATAAAAATTTAGTACTTCAAAATAAGACTCCAAAAATAAAGGTCACAAGGATCAAAATAAGCATTACGAGGGTCAGAATAAGGATCATGAGGATCAGAATAAGGGTTACGAGGGTCAGATTCGGGATCATCAAGGTTTTAACAGATTGAGAGTTCAAATAAGGGTCATGGGGATCAGAAACTAAGGATCACAAGGGCCAAAATAAGGGTCACTATACATCTTTCTCTTCTATATCTATATTATAAAAATCGAAATCGACTTCTGGTGCACGGAGAGAAATTTTCTAGAAAAATTCTAGTACGAGGACTGGAAAAAATCACAATCTACCGGCTGTGAAAAATTCTAGTGCCGTTAAGGTAAAATTTCTTGGTATTTCTGGTAAAATTTCTGGGGATTTCTGTGAAATTTTCACAGAAATATGGGGAAAAATTCACATTTTTCCCAATAAGATTTCTAGTGCCGGCACTGGAATTTTTTCCTGGCCGTCACTTTGCGCCTCTTTTCCCGTGCTAGCACTAGAATTTTTATAAAAAATTTCTCTCTGTGTGATGAAAATTTGGTATACGAAATTAAGACTCCAAAATTAAGAGTCAAAATAAGGGCCACGAAAGGTATAATGAGGGTCACGAGACTCAGACTAAGGATCACAAGTGTGAGAATAAGGATCATTGGGGTCATATGGGGGTTAGCGAGTGGAGCGAGCAGGGGGCGTCGCCCCCTAGTCCCACATATAATTGTTCCCATATATATTCGTTCCGTGAGGGACGGAGCCGCACGCTACGCCTGTGACCACTGCTGTCGCTCATAAGTTTCTAATAAATCTCATTTTCTCTCCCTTCCACCAACATTTCATAATCAATAAAAACAAGAAAAAATATCAAACCTAGTTTCTCCAAGATGAGTGTTAATTTCTCTCCGTGTACACAAAGGGAAATTTTTGATAAAAATTATCCTACCGTTCTATAAAAGTGTATCATGAGTCATCGTTCCCTCATTTCTATTCTGAAATTTAGTAAAAATTAATATATGATGATCAAATTTTATTGCACGTTAGAGAAATTTTATCCTGACGCATAATAAATTTTACCCTTCCAGTCCAATAATTTTTATGTAGATAACAACGAAAATTCTAGAACGGTTGGTAAATTTTACCCTACCGGTACAGTATTTTTACTGTACCTGTACGGTAATTTTTATTTTTATCAGGATAAAATTTCTCTAACGTAGAATAAAATTTGTTTTAAAATTAATTTTTAGAAAATTTCGGGATAGAAATGAGGAAACGATGACTCATGATACACTTTTATAGAACGGTACACGGAGAGAAATTTTCTAGAAAAATTCTAGTACGAGTACTGGGAAAAATTACAATCCACCGACTGTGAAAAATTCTAGTGCTATTAAGGTAAAATTTCTTGGTATTTCTGGTAAAATTTCTGGGGATTTCTGTGAAATTTTCACAGAAATACGGGGAAAAATTCACGTTTTCCCCAATCAAATTTGTAATACCGATAATAGAATTTTTTTCTGGCCGTCACTTTGCGCCTCTTTTCCCGTGCTACCACTAGAATTTTTCTAAAAAATTTCTCTCCATGTAGGATAATTTTTATCAAAAATTTGTCTCCATGTACCCACCTAACACAAAAAGAAATCGTGCCACCACTCGTGCAGTGGATCCATCAAGAATGCATTTAATTCCCAAAAAATGCGTCTCGACAATTACCCGTGAAATTGTTAATCTCCCAAACAATTACATAATGCCCAAAACTCCATTTATCAATTAACCCGATTCACCTCCACCCCTCTCTATTTTATTCACATTCTCCCTCTCATTATCATTATTCCAATCAGAAATTTCTCACCTCCTTCCACTCGCCTAACGATCATCATTAGTTCACACCAATTCTCCGAAAATTGCGCACCTGAAGAGCGCTGTGCACCCCCGACCCTACGCAAATTATCCCGTCTACACTTGGATGGAATTCAAACTGCTGATGGCAACTCAACCCAACTCCACTCAGCCCTCCTCCCCCCCATCCCTAAATTTCCATCTTTTTACCCGTGTACCTCATGCAAAACTCCCACTGATTGACTATTGATTGGGCATTGAACAATAATTGAGGGACAGGAGTTTTCGGAGTGCAACATTGTTATAACTTCTGAATAAACCCAATAAAATCATGGGAAAAAATTTCCATTGAATATTTAAATTGAAATAATAGAATATTAACTCACCCCACTTCACGATTGGCTGATTTCCGATTGCCGGCAGGCGGAATCTGAAATATAATTAATGAATTGGATTAAAAAATACGCCAGCAGTTTATTCCATACTCGCTTTCATATAAAATTTAATCCCACATCATATGTGCTAGGGATTTTTCGCATTCGTCATATGTGAACCGTGTGGTCTTTATTCCGGATCAATATGGTTGAGGATTGTCGGGTAAATCGAGCCCAATCGTATGAAAAAATGTATGGTGATGGTCGAATAGCTTCATTTATTTATAAGCCCTTTAACATTCGCATCGATTCTCGGATAATCCCCCTGGGATCACTCAATTGAACCTCTAATCGAAAATAAAAACTATTTGGGGGTAACTGGGGACAATAAAGCGGTAAACTTTGCCCCTCGTCAATCCATTCGTGAAGTTCATGGAGAATTCCACGTTTTTTCAATTGAAAAATAATTATTCTCTTTAGGTTCTGAAATATGTATTGGATGTGATGACGGATGGTTTGGGGAATATCTCCGAATGCGAGGAAAATAAATTATTTATAAATTCCCAAAACGTGAAAAAAAAGTGGTGACTGAAAAGAACTCAAACTTTTTTTTCATATGAAAAATTTCCGACGATTATTTTCAGACATTTTCCACGTCTAAAATTTCGTCATTTATAAGTCATTCACACATTTAATCTTTCAACCATATCATCTGCGTTAGATAAAGACATCGCCTGTCTTACAACTCGATTTATTCCGGTGCCTGTTTTCTGAAATTTTCGTTTAATCCCGCAAATTTTGCGAAATCAAACGCCACAAAATAAGTTTTGAACCCCTTCTATTTTTAAAAAATTTATTGGAAAATTCTAGCCACATGTGTATGGGTCCATTGTAATTGATCTACACTGAGAAAAAAAATTACTTCTGCCCAGTAAATTTATTTGCCACAAGCAAATGTATATAAATATTTGCATTTGAAATGTGTGTATTTTTTTGTAGTTAGTAAATTTACTTGGCAAAAATATTTTTTTTTCTCAGTGTAATGCACCTTGTCTTCAAACGGAATTGTCTGAAACAAACACATCTCAAAAATGTCTGCAAAATGAACTCAAAATGTCTACCAAAACGTCTGAAATTCAAACATTAGTTTCTGCCGTTCCGACGCTTGATAAAAATTTCCAAAAAATATACCCCAAATTTCACCGAAAACTTGACCGTATAATAGACACATTTCAAAACCTCCTCAAAACATGATCAAAATACGAAAAAATCATTCTTCAAAAATTGAAATAGCATAGAATACGTCTTATTCCAAAAGTCAAATGGAATCCACTCACAAAAGCTCTCACAAAAAAAGTAACTATAAAAACAAAGCCGCCACTTCTCAATTAAGCCCGACAGAAAGCGAGGGATGCGATCGAAGAGCGTAAAAGACGCAACTTCTCACAAGAAAGGTTTATGATCCTGTAAATTACTCTAACACGCTCTAAACCCCCGTGGAAACTTGACGCAAAGATCCAAGAGAGGGGGAGATACAGTATCAAGTCACCCCTCCACCGAAATTAATCCAAAACACTGGGGGCAACGTAACCCGATACTTTGCTTTCCCTCAAAAACTTCGGAAAGCTTCTATAAGTCAATAGAAAAGAACGAAATGTCCCCATTCTCGAGAAATAATTAGAAAACTTTACCCCAAGAATCACAACTAAACTCATTAAATCCATCGAACTTCCTCCTCTCCAATCCTTTCTTCGATGTCCTACATCGGAAAGCTAATACATTCAGCCCGTAAGTTATAATAATCTACGACTACCCCGTGGCAGTTAACGATCCCCGTTACATCATCCGTGATCTATGTCTGAACGATGATAACATTAATAATGAATATTCATTGAGATTCAGCGGGTCAAGCGTGGAGCTTGGAGGCAGAGCACGTTGCTAGCCAACCGCTTGATCTTAGCCCCACATAATGGAACCTCATGTACTCAAGTGCATTGACGCGAATGATTCATACGAAGCCTGAGAGAATGAGATATCAATAATGAGGGTTGTTTAAAGAATTTTCGACAGTTGTTGTATTTCCTCATTCAAATTACATGTCCAAGTAAGTTGACAACAGCAGCAGCCAAGAATTTTCAAAAGTGTAGAACAGATTTAGGTACTTAATATTAACACTGACCACAACCACATACTTATGACTTATTTGGCTCATTTCGGGTCAATTCCTATTCTCTTTAGTACTTTCCGTCTGAGTTAAAGCCCCAGCAGGTGATTGAAATCTCCGAATCCTTAGATTTCTGACATTTCCATTGCTCTCAACAGGTTTGCTTGATTGTCAGGGCGACAATTTTTCTTTCAGAGGAGGGAGTAGTGTAACGAATCTTTAATTTCCCCAATTACATTCTATTGTTCATGCATTCTTTTCTTTTCCTTGGAACCTCCCCTAAAGTTAGCGTCACTCAGTTCCTTTCTTTTCATTCGTTTGATCCTACCTTGACATTTCTCTTTGTATTTTCCCTTCACCTCATTTTAATTATTAAACAAGGATTTATTAAGACCCGCGCGCTCTTCAATATTTATGAAACTGCAGCATCTGCCGGTAGCACGAAGGGTGGCGACGAAAGATTAATTACATCTGCCACCAGTAAACAACCCGGTATTTCAATCTCCTTAAGTTAAAGCACTCTAATCCAAAGTACACCATTTCATTCTTTGACATCCTGCCATAAGACAGCTTTAAACCCTCCACTTTAGCAATGCGACCGCTTGATCTGACCCCAGACGATGGAATCTCTTGTTCCGAAGTGCATTGACGCAGAAGATCCACAAGGAGCCGCCCGAGGGAAGGCAACAAAACATCAATGAACGCCCTCGGTCCATGCCGAGATGCACTCTAAAGAGAAAACCCGTTGATACGTAAAGATCTGAAGCCACAAACCAGCGCCCGAAAGCGTCGAGTGAGCCTCGACTTTGCACCTGACATACATATTCCAGTGGCATTTCCCATCCTCCAATCGTAAGACGAGTGTTGATCTACAGCGCCGAGAATAATGCCAAAAGCTCGGCCATCTTTGTCATGGTAATACCGGATCCTTTTCCATTCACGTTTATACGACCCAGTAGATTCACTGTGGCTCACTGATACTCGCTTCTCTCCTACCATTTTCGTTGGGTGCTTCTTGTATTACACAATATGCATGCAAAAGTGCATCCACAGTCGTTTTTAGAGAACGAGGAAGGAGCGGGAGTGTGTATGCATAGACTCCTTTTACATGGTTTGTTCCTTCTGTGGAAAGCTGAGCGTCGTTATCTTGAAGTTGAAGTGAAGTTGGAGGCGCGGGGTTGAAGTATACCCTTAGAACGGTAAGTGGGGCCTTCGCAACTCCTGAAAGATGCGCATTCGATGCCATCCCAAGAGCCAAGACGGATTGAGCATGGATGGATGGAGGATACGATGCTCGGTTGAATATCGTCTGATTGCTTTGATATGCAGAGTAGACAAGCGGAATATATCTTGCGAACACCTCTTGCAGTGCAGCGAATGTTTTGATGATCATTTCAACGCTTATTTAACATCGGGAAAAATGGTTATGAAGTTGTTTGGTCTGAGTTGCGTGTTTGGAGCAGAGCTTATGCAGTACGATTGATGGAATCGTGCAAGGTTTGGTCGAGACAAAGTAGCTGTACGAATTCAGCGAAGTTCATGTTGTGGTTTGAGTTCATGCCATTGGCGACACAACTGGTTGATAACTTTCATCTAAGTAGAGACGGACCGGCATCAGGAATGAAGACATTTTCAATCGACTTCTGGATGTTTGGTTTCGAGAAGACAAATAAACCAATGTTGCGATACTTCGCAGATGAACTTTGAAGATGATCAAAATTCACGAAGTTTCCAGATTGAAGTCAAACCTATCCGACTCAAATCCTCCTCTTGAGAGGCAGAGTAGACAAGCGGAATATATCTTGCGAACACCTCTTGCAGTGCAGCGAATGTTTTGATGATCATTTCAACGCTCATTTAACATCGGGAAAAATGGTTATGAAGTTGTTTGGTCTGAGTTGCGTGTTTGGAGCAGAGCTTATGCAGTACGATTGATGGGATCGTGCAAGGTTTGGTCGAGACAAAGTAGCTGTACGAATTCAGCGAAGTTCATGTTGTGGTTTGAGTTCATGCCATTGGCGACACAACTGGTTGATAACTTTCATCTAAGTAGAGATGGACCGGCATCAGGAATGAAGACATTTTCAATCGACTTCTGGATGTTTGGTTTCGAGAAGACAAATAAATCAATGTTGCGATACTTCGCAGATGAACTTTGAAGATGATCAAAATTCACGAAGTTTCCAGATTGAAGTCAAACCTATCTGACTCAAACTCTCGTCTTGAGAGGCAGAGTAGACAAGCGGAATATATCTTGCGAACACCTCTTGCAGTGCAGCGAATGTTTTGATGATCATTTCAACGCTCATTTAACATCGGGAAAAATGGTTATGAAGTTGTTTGGTCTGAGTTGCGTGTTTGGAGCAGAGCTTATGCAGTACGATTGATGGGATCGTGCAAGGTTTGGTCGAGACAAAGTAGCTGTACGAATTCAGCGAAGTTCATGTTGTGTTTTGAGTTCATGCCATTGGCGACACAACTGGTTGATAACTTTCAGCTAAGTAGAGATGGACCGGCATCAGGAACGAAGACATTTTCAATTGACTTCTGGATGTTTGGTTTCGAGAAGACAAATAAACCAATGTTGCGATACTTCGCAGATGAACTTTGAAGATGATCAAAATTCACGAAGTTTCCAGATTGAAGTCAAACCTATCCGACTCAAATCCTCCTCTTGAGAGGCAGAGTAGACAAGCGGAATATATCTTGCGAACACCTCTTGCAGTGCAGCGAATGTTTTGATGATCATTTCAACGCTCATTTAACATCGGGAAAAATGGTTATGAAGTTGTTTGGTCTGAGTTGCGTGTTTGGAGCAGAGCTTATGCAGTACGATTGATGGGATCGTGCAAGGTTTGGTCGAGACAAAGTAGCTGTACGAATTCAGCGAAG